TTTGTGCAAAAATTCCTACTGACAAGTGCTGTTTAAGTGTTGGAAAATTAAACGCAATTGAGAATGGAACACAAATTGTAAGAAAATTTAGTAACTTTGTGTAGAAGAGGACAAAAACTAATATAATTTGGTAGGAAAAAAAGATGAAAAGTTCAAGGGAAAAAAAAAAAACCTTTTGCTTGATGTTTGTTTAGTAGAAGAGGACCAAAACTAAGATAATTGATTTTATTTGAATAAATCTGTCATTTTTCTCCTAACTTTGTGTAGTTGTAGAAAAATGTAAATTCATGTGTTTTCTTCTTTTCTCCTATTTCTTCCCTTTTATCAAAAGAGGGAATATAATGCTTTCTAGCTTTTTTGCTTCCACCTTTTTCATTCCCTCCTATATATCCAATTAAGGCAGCATAAATTTCAGGTACTAAAAAAAAGAAGCAATATATAGTTACTCTTGTCTCCATTGCAGCAGGGAAGAAATGTTCTATCCACACTGTGAACATGATTATATATATTATTGGCAGATGTCACTTTCACCCTGGATGCTGAAAAATAACAAAGTTCCGAAATTTTGGCACCAATGAAAATGATCATCATTATCTAAAAACCAGGTTGGCCTGTCCAAAACATCACAAGGCCCTGGAGAATTTTGACAGGACTTCCATATCAAATTCGTATTGTTCAATTGTTGATTACCCTTTTGGAGAAACCTGAAAGTGTATTAATTTATACCCTTTAGTTATTAGAATTGAAAGGGTTATTCTTTGTTTTTCTTTTTTGGCTTTTTCGAACTTTATTCCTGAAGTTGAAGCTTTGTTATGAATTTGAAAGGGTATCTGGTTCAACATGATCTATCGCAAAAGGTATTTATTATCTTAAAAATGATTCCTAACTACCTTTCCTTATCTTATTTTCCATTAAACCCTGTATAAATGCAACGCTGAGCATAAGGGAGAAATTATTATGTAGGTCTTTTTATCGTCTCAATTATACTTACAACCAGTGCAAATTTGACACCTCGAAAACTGTCACTTGAGTATATACGTATTCAGACATTTTTCATTAGCATGACTCAAAATACATCCAAATGACTATTTCAATTGCCAATTGCTATTTTTTACGTGCTCTCGTAGTAAAATATTGAGTTTTTAATTTTAATAATTAAAGTTTAAATCTTTGATAATTTTAAATATACAAAAAATAATAAACTACGTAGATGCATCTTGATTTGTCTGATTTATCATTGATATAACGATCTATACAATAATTTCTCGAGTAAGGGTAATCTAGAAAATGCCTCTTACGCAAATATTATCTTGGGCTGGCCTAGTTGCCTGACAAAGGGAGAATTTAGTTAGAGGCAATGGAAGATGTAGAGGCATAGTAAGTATCAGGTACCTCTGGCTCTGATAAACCTTCCCTATCCCATCACTCAACTTAGCAGCAGCCGAAATTGAGATTATATTTCCCACTTGCATTGCATCTACTAACAACGGTTCTCCCCCCAAATCACTTGTTTTCGTCTAAACCTTTGTTAGTGCTTCTTTGGAAATGACTACTTGGATCTATCCTCCCATTATCATGCTTCTTTGGACTCTAGTGTAGGCCAATTATTCTTGGTAATTGAAACAAAAAAATTTTTGGCAAGATTTCTTTTGCTTTTAACTTCGAAGAATTGTCTTTCAATGTAAGGACAATTGTCTAGTTAAATGTATTGTCTCTTTGCATAAAATAATAAAAAAAAATTTTAATAATGCCGTTATTACATACTTAAAACATTGATCAGCAAAACTATTTTTATAAATGAAATCCTTGTTTGAAAATAAATTAAAAAAAATTATAACTTGCAATTATTAGAATTTAAATTTTGAATCTGTTAAATTTTACATGTTAAACATGCATAAACCTGGGTTTAACAAAGTCCTTTTTAACCCACTATAAAAATAACTTTAAGACAACAAGCCCTTGGTTATAAAGGAACAAAGTTGGCAAAATATTCAATTTCAAAACTTCAAAGTGCAGTCAACCACTACAGCAATTTTGATCTTTGGCTACCTACTTTATAACAGTACTGTTAAAAGTCTTTTTATTAGCTGCACTCCTTTTACAATTTTATTAACAGAACTTTTATCAATTTGGCTGTACCATAGGAATTTTTTTTAATTTTAATAGTATTTTGAATTAAATACAGCTGAGATTGCATACACTGAGAGTGACTAAGCCTTTGCCATTGACGTTAAATGTAAGGAAAAAAAAAAGTGCAATTGAAAGTTTAAATGGCATCACGTTTTAAGTTTTTGTTACATAAAAATGTATGCTACACCAAATAAATGTAGCTAAAATTTAAATTTGTAGAACAATTATTACACTACAATTAATCAATTATAATTTAAAATTATATAAAATTCATCATAATACTACGTGAAACTCAAAATATTTATAAATGATGAACCTTACACAATTTTTTATTGTTGTTAAATAATTACAAAATTAAAATAAAAAAATTACAAATGAAATGCTCACGAGTTAATTGCAACATTACCTTTTTTTTTTTTCCTTTTGATCCTAAATATTTATTTGTACACCAAAAAAAAACAAAAGTCTTAGATAGGTCTTGAAAAAGGTGGCGATCAGAAAATGAATTTTTAAGATGACAATGAGGTCTGTAAGCTTGCAGCCTCAAAATGACAAGATATAATACTTTCTTTTTGCTTAGATATTATATATATCTTGAATTAACTCCAAATGGTATCTGGTCCAACAAACTCATGTTGGTGCATGTTGCTCAGAGTGAATCTTAGCTGATTTTTATAGCATATGACCACTACAGCACTTTTTCCTTTTATTATTTTAATTTCTTCAATTTTTACTCTTTAGAAAATATTCTATGTTCTATATATAGTACACTTCTTTCATTTCTCTTACCAAGTTGAGAGATTCTTGTTCAAAGATTTGTCATGCTTTTCATCTACATCTTCACTTCTCTTTATTTCGATCAGGTTACCTTTGCCTCCTCCCTGTTCTTAATGAGAAAGATGTGTTCAAACTAGAAGACGATTAAGATACTATACCAATAACTTAATCCAACTGATTTATATAATCGCTTTAGGTGGCATATGATAGATTTAAAATTTAAATTCCAATAACTATAATAATTTTCCCTTTCCTCATACTCCTCTTTTATACCAAAAAAAATACTTTATTAGGCACCCAACAATTTGTTTGGAGAATATGGTGACATCAACTAAACTCAATAAAAATCAAAGATTATAGTTAATAATTAAGTTTTATATACAAGTACTCAAATTAATTCTAAAGCTAAATACTACTCGAGAATCTAATGTTTATAAAATTTTTCATTTTAGGATCTAATGTTTATTTTTAATTGAGAATAATTGATAAAATAAACCAAAAAATGCAGAACCGTAAATTTTAACTTATAATAAATGAATTTTCTGAAAAAAAAAAAAAAGGGCTAAATCTACCTAAATAAAGAAAATTTGATAACTCTTGGCACCATGAGTTTTATAATTTGTAATCAATTTTCCTCAATTAATCAAAGTTAAGAAGCTGAAATCCTAAATTCTTCAAAAATAAAATGTTAGATTATGAAATGATAATTTTTACAAATGTTAAATCCTAAAATAAGTATTTAGCCACATTTAAAAGCTAATAGCTGTCACCTTCAGAGATAAGGTCTAAGGTTTGAATCCATTTTTCCTTCTAGATTTTTCTCATATGCATCGAGAAAAAAAAAAAGTTAAATTGTTTCCCGAATTCACATGTGCTCTATGTACCTTTTGTATGTGCATGTGACCATGTACAAGGAGAAAACAAAGTTAGCAATGAAGAAGAGGGCACACCAAAAGAATCCACAGCATGCTTTTGAGTGGTAGTACACAAAAATGCAGGAAAGCAGATATATGCCAGTCACAGTCTTGAGATATATATAAACATGAATATATGCAAGAATCTGTGAAGATATTGTGAAATGATGTCCAAAGACTTAAATAGTGAGTTTGAAAGAAAATCTCATTTTACTTTACACTCTTTTTTTCTTAGCTCCAATAAGATTACTTTCGAATATGGGCAAACAAAGGATCTCCAAAGGTATTAGCTAATTTTGAGAGTCTTCTAGGATATGTTTGAATACATCGCTTATATATTGACGGCAAAAATTTGAGGGCAAAACTAAGAATTCAAAGCAAATAATATATGTTACATGGATGTAATAATGTATTACCAATAGATCTATCCATGGGATCTATCATGGATTGAGTTGAATTGGATTAAATCTTATTCGCTTTAAAAATTTTTCAAATCGTACAACTTATTAAAATTGATTTTTTATAAAATATTTCAAATTTTTTATTAATTTTAAATATTTTAAATAGAATTAAATCAAACTCGAGCTTCAAAGCTCGTCTACAGATCTAATTACAAAGTAATTAATTAATCTAGTTTGGAAAGAGATACTCCTTTTTTGTCAACCAGAGTTCAATTTTTGTGTGAATACACTCCAAGCATAAAACCTTACATAAACTAGGTCCATATGGAAGAGGCATTTTTAACATCAAGTCCAAAGAGAGGATTAAAACAAGGCAAAACCTGAAAAAACCTTTAATTGAAGTACCAAAAAAAAAAAAAAAGGAATATATTGATGTTCAAAATTAAGTTGGATTTCATCCCCCTCAACTTAGATATCTATATTCCCTATTTAACTTGACAAGGAAAAAAAATGACTTGCTTTAATTTTTAAAACTTGTTATGCTAAAATTGTGAAATTTTATAGAAAATTTGATAAATAAAAATTTTGACAATAAAAGTTTAAAAGTGAAATAAGTGCACAGTATTGACCAAAGGTTGAAGAGAAGAATGTTTTTCCTGAATAGAGATCGCACATTGTGGATAAAATATTTTCAAGTGCAGAAATCTAATACCAAATTTTGCACAGTAATGTATAACCATGTACTCCAAAAGAGTTTCTGCACTAAGCTAAATTTTCCTGGGAATTGATTGAGTAATTTTAGCAATAAATTTTTATGAAATATAAAAGCAACTGGTCTCATAGCATCTGATTCACGTTAAAACAGCCATACATGAACGTTAAAAGGCTTAATTTCGACAAGACATCAGTTGTAATTTAAGAAAATCTCCTAATTATATGCAAGTTGATGTCCAAATCTTGCAATGGCAACTTTACAAAAGGGATTGCAAAGGCAGAGAAATTATTTGCACACCATTCCTGTATGAATGTGATACAATTAAGACCGAAACACCCTACTTTAATCTGCTCAAACAGAAGCTGATCAAATCTATATATCGATCACATACAGCAAATCTTCTGTGGAGAAAACCATCAGCAGAAAGCAAATGAGAATAAGTTTGACAAACGACCTGCCAAATATTGTACTTCAACTCCCTAGACCAAAAGTAAATTACCTAAATCAATCAACCCTGTCCGTATAAAAACAGAGGGACATCTTGAAATATGATGTATTCATAAAGTCATTTTTAAGATAATGCAACTCTTGCTTCGACCTAATCATAACCTCATAGATATGGTGGCTTTAAAAAATAAGAATCATTTAGTATAAAGAACCTTTTTCCGTCAATACAAGTGCATACATGCACAAACACATGCCTACATACAATTACCTATTTATTCAAATATGAAAATCTATAGACATGGTTTCTGAGCACCAATACACATGCACTTACACACAATCTATAGACATGCTTATCTATCAGGCATTTAAGCATGTGAACCTACAAAGAATATAGGCTCCTACAATTCATGAACTGATATCAGGTCCCATATCTATTGACTTTATGCCAGGCTATTATATAGTTAAGGGTGCACCTCAAGAAAAGTGATGCACTTAACCTTATAAAGGACAAGTGGATCACATATGGCCAATGTTATGAATAATACAAAAGCCTCACAAATGGTGAGTAGAACTAGACATACCAGTATTTGTAAATCATCTCAAGAAGAGATAGTTTAAGATCTAGTGAATGTTGCGAGTTAGCAATCCTTGAAATGATAGAAACAGATCTTTATTATCTGTCCCAAAAATCTCTTCTGCCTTCCTCAAAGTTTCCTGAAAAGAAAAAGTTAAATTAGTTCAGGGCACAAAAAGTTTAAACACTAAACTAGTGTAGAGGTCTCCGATGAGCTTAACAACTCATTACCTCTCGGGTTTGCTTCTGAGCATTTAGCTCCTTGATGTTAGCCAAAAATGCACTAAACTGCTCATAGGAAAGGCGACTCCTAGATTACAAATATTTCAGATCAGTTTGTTAAGAGCCAGGAACTTCTTAAGGGGTCATAATTGAATATATTTATGCACTCTCCCATAGGTACAAACAAATGCAAAGAGATAGAGAGAGGGATAGAACTCAAACAATAAAATTTACCTGGCCTGACGAAAGAATTCCTTTCCATCAATTCGAGGTGTCCGTGCTAAACATTTTCAAATACAAGAAAAAATGGGTTAAATGAAAAGAGGAAGAGGTAATTATTCATAGAAAAACAAAATGAGATCATCTATCAGAATAACAGCAATTCTTGCAAAACCTGGCAGTGAACGCCCACGAGGAGGAGAGTTAGCTGCAGACGACTGCTGGCTAGACAGGTACCATGAGTGTGAAGTCCGCCCATCATATTGAGGCCTTGTTGGAGAAGCTGCACCAGAGGTTCTCTGGGGGGACACAGCAGCAGAATAACCCCTAGGGGACCCACTTGTGGATATAACCTTTGGAGTTCCACTAGGAGTAAGCCGCGGTGTGATATATGGAGTTATAGAAAATCTTTGTCCAGCATGTCTTGAGGCTGTTGGGAAAATATCAGTTCAAAATCCATATCAAGATAAAGCTTTTTAATAAAGTTAATTTGTTTTCCCAGAAAACTAATCAGGAATGAAATATAGATCCTTTTCCATCTTATGGCAAAGTTAGTGAACAGGATCATTTCACTAACTTGTTAATGTACTTTATAACAAGTAAAAGAATGCATTCAAGTATTAGAATATACAGCTTTATCTGCATAGATTCAAGAAATTTTGTCTTCAACATTTAAATAATTCAGGAACAACGGTCATTTACTCCCATAATCATATCTGCATTTAAAAAGAATTTAGAAACCAGTTATTTATCTCCCATAATCATAGTTCCTTTTATGCTTCATTGAGGAGCCCATCAATCACAGGACTTTATTTTATTTATATTTATTGTTTTCTAGCATCAAAATTATGCTAAGATAACACCGAGTGTGAAGATAAAGTAATTAACATAGTTCCAGATCAGCCGGTCATGCTAGGTAATTTTGTCAGGCCAATTTGAAGAAAGGCTTTCACGTTAAATTAAGACTATTTGATAAATATAACACATATGTTAATAAAACTCATATAGTTATTTGCATAATAACTTTCAATGCAACACATTTAAAAGCTTTTTCTTTTGTTTTTCTTTTAAGAAAATACTCATCCCTAAGGAAAGTTCATTGTTGACTTCTAGCTATCAAACTTTTTCACTTTTGATGTTTAATTTTAGAAATTCTAAAAGTAAGCATTAAGCATTAAAGCTTTAAATCCAAAGCTTTTCAAGTATTTTGAAAAGTCAATAAAATATTTAAAATATCAAGGGTCTAAAACAAAATGGTACTGTAGTTATTTTGAAAAACTCTAACCATTATTCATTACAACGTGTTGCAATATATCTGTTTTGTTTTATCTCCAATTTTTATAACAACGTGTTATGCACTTCCAACATTGATGCCGATCTTTTAAGCTCCTCCTACCATACATAAGCAAAAAAATGCTCCAACAAAAAACAAAAGACAGACCGAAAGAAATAAAGAGAAACTAGTCTAATTACCTTCATCAATTGTGCTTCCCATGTCCATCGAACCATTGGATGAACGAAGTGATGTGTAGTCATTCATCCCATCATCTATGTGGCAGTTGGTATAACATAGATCAGAATATTGGCAACAAGATAGAAGTTAGTGGTGGAAAGAAAGCAGAAGGTGGAGATAGGCTATTGTTGAATTTCTGAAGTGAGAAATTATGAATGAATAGGGAGGAAATCGCACAGGAAAAAAAAAAAAAAGCAATAAGTGAGCTTAATAATACCCTTGTCAGGATAGGCTTTAGGGACTGACTGGTCACAAGTCCCAATATCAACCGTTTCAGCTTGCTGTTAAGAAGGATTGAAAACAAGGTAAAAAAAATTTTGGATTCCTCAAGTATCTGAACAAACAGAAACTGAACAGAGAAAATAAAGTGCAGGTAAAGCAGAACAAGTTTTCATTAGGAATGACAGAAATATACTTGAATCATAAAAAACATAAAAAACAAGAATGGCTAAATATGGAAATCTTACAGATGCATTGTCATCACTTAGAGATTGCATCAGTTGTCGCTTAAAAGTCTCCAACTGTTAAATATTAGAATATGTTATTCTTTATCTTCAAATTTCAAAATAGAATAGATATGAATATAGAATGATGATGTGCCAGTAAATATAAATTAGAAAAAAAAAATGAGAAACAGACTAAAAGAAAAGGGAATAATGAACAAGCATGATTATGAAAGAACAGATCAAAAAGTAGGAAAATATTATCTGATTTCTTCAACAAAGGCATGATGTCCAAGAAAGCATTCAAATCTAAAAGTACAAAAACTACTAGACAGAAGCAAAGCTAAAAATAGATCTGGTTGAATCAAATTTTAAATGTTCAACACATTCAAAATGGATTGATCAAGTAACCTAAATGCAACAGAACATATATACAGAATGCAGTCTTAAGCCTTTAACATCATCATGTCACACAGCAGCGCCGCAAGATACTCGAGAATTTGTTTTAGTAAGAACACTACTCGCTAGCAGCATTGAGCACAAACTGACTGGAGTCATAATTGTGCTTGTGAAAGAGAAAACTCCTTAGATTTCTTTAATTAAAAAAGTTAACTAACAACTCAAGTACCAGTGAATGAGTATATTAATATAAGCATGCAATACACTAATAGAATTGGATAGCTGACTGCATATTAAATGGAAATGAAAACAGGCACTAAAACTCTGTTTGGTTTCCAATTTCAAACCCCTGTTAACCTCCCAGCAATTGGAACATACTAAATGAGCAAATAATCTTTTCTATGATTAAAATTTTAAAATGGCACCTGGCCCTGAATTTTACACATTTCATCAGAAAAACATTAAAGAGGCAGGATACTTCATGGCTGAAGTTATGGATCTCACGAATAAAGAGGTTACTTCACAGATAAATTGCAAAAATACATATTCCAAATCTCTACTTTCTACAAATATGGAATTGCACTAGTTTGAACAAAAATGAAAAAATGAAATTCCTTGTAATATACAGATTTCATAAAAACTTTGTTGATTTTATTTTAAATCTATAATTTACTAAACAATTAGGAATTCACCAACCAACAAATTTCAAACATAATATTTCAATTTCAAATGAACTATATGTTAATTATAAATTTCATTTTTTTATCGGGATCAAAGTGGTACCTTAAGATAGTTTATCAGCAAACTATTTTGTAAGAAGCAATTAAAAAAAACCAACAAAGTTAACAGTATCTGTTCCTCAATCAGAAGAATTTTTGCCCACCACTGCTCCTCTTGACTATAACCTTTAGCAGAAGCTCAAAAATTGGTAATATCAACCACTAGTATGAATCTTAAAGAACCTATCCACTCACCATATTTCCATAAATACATTGGTGAATTGAGAAAAAACATAATTAAAATTACAATCTCACCTTTGATAAATCACGGCTAAGTTTCTTTGCAGTCATTGCCAAGGAATCGCGCTCCTTTGAAAGCTTAATCTTCAAAAAAAAAAAAAAAACCAACAAGCAAGCATCAAAATCCTGAAAAACAATACCCACAAGTTTATCTGAAAATAAAACTGAATTTGTACCCAAAAAGAGTTCCTCATTTTCTCAGTAAAACCCCAAAAGCATATATAAATAAATGATAAACACCCACAAATGTAATCAACAAGCAAAAAAATTCAGAAACCAAATTATAAAAATCCCTCAAAAGGAACGGAATTTCTACTTATAACAGTATTGTTGGTTAATAAGGCAAAGAAAACAGTAAAGATAGAAATAAGGGACAAAAAAGAAAGAAAGAGAAAGTAAACAAAAAGGCATCAAAATCAGATCAATCCCAAAAAACAACGCACGACAATTTTCACTAACATTTCAAATTATTTCAAAAACAACTGTAAAATCCTTAAATAAATTTTAAGAAATTAAAAAAAATTTTAAAAAGAGACTAACATTTTCATCAAAAGCTAGCTTTAATCTAGACTCAGCGTCATGATTTGCTTGCTGCAATCTTGAGAGTTTCTCTTCCAAATCGTAAATAATACAATCCTTTTCGTACATTTTTTCCCTCATCCTCCCCATATCCTCTTCCATCTTCGACACTCTCGATGCGATTGCCATCGACGTTATCTTACGCGCCAGATCCAACTGCTCGTAAGGGTCCGTCGGTATCACCGCCAGAATCTCCTCCGCCAGATTGAACTCCATGCCTCCTCCGCCACCGCCGCCCTGCGACATCGCTGATGAAGTCTCTTCTTTCGTCGCTTTAGGAAAAGAAAACATCTAAAATAGAAGAGACAAAGAAACGGAGATAATAAAAAATAAATAAATGCTGGTTTTTTTTTTTTTTTTTTTTTTTTGGTTGGTTGGTGGAATTGGGAATTTTTTTGCGGCGATTTGTCTAAATTTTAAAATTTTGGAGGGATTTTCCCTCCAAACCCAAGATAAGATGACAAAAGGGGAAAAAAGAAAAGCTTTCTTTGTCAGCAATTAAGTTCAATTCAGTTTTTTTTCTTTTTTCTCAGAACTTAGGTTCAATTCAATTTGAACCATGGATATCAGATAGGATATGTGCTATTTTTGAAGTATAAGTATTTAGGGGTGTTTATAATTGAGTTTTAATTAAATTAATTAATTGAATTGATTTAATTTAATTAATTAATCGATTAACAAAAATAAATTTAAAAATTTTTAATTTTTAATTTTTAATTTAAAAATTGAATTAATTGATATTTTAAATGAAATATAAAAAATTCAAATATAAAATGAAAAAATATAAAATAAAGTTTTATTTAATTTATTTAAAATATGAGAAATTAAGATTTTAAAATATAATTTAATTTAAATATATTTATTATTTGATTAATAAAAAAATTAATTGAACTGATTGAATTAAATTCAATTCGATTAACAAAAAAAAATAATATAATTTGATTAATTTATTTTTAAACAATTCAATTAAAAATTAATGGAATCAATCAAATAAATATCCCTACAAATATCTAAACTTGATTATTTATCAAGATATCCAAATCTGATAATTATCCTCATACTTTTAATTTTTGCTACCTAAATTTTACTCATACAATAAGAAAATAAGCATTAATTATCCAAACATGTTAAATACTCATTTATTAAGTCGAAGTTTGATTTTTAAATTTAAATTTAAATCATTTTTAATACATATTGTTAAAAATTTTAAATTAATAAATTAAAATTAACTTATAAAAAAGAAATTAAAATTCTTTTTAATTTATTTTTATTTTTTAATAAAAAAACATTTAATAACAAATATATAAATATAATATTTATAATTCATACATTTAAAACTAAATAGTTCTTTTTTAGTTTACAAATTTTATTTAATTGTTTGAAATTTGAATTAACTCGTGTAATTTTATTATTATATTTTTAATTTTGAAGTATATTTATATTTATATTTAAAGCAATTAAAGAATATTTAGTAAAAAAAAATTTGTTAACAAATACTTTATAATTCAAAACATATAAAAATGATAGAGAAAAAAGTCAAGACTAACTGAAAAATTATGATAAGGTAGTAGAATGAAATAAAAAAATGAAAAGAAAATTTTAGATGATTATGTGACATTACATTTAATAAAAAATACCATGATAAAGAAAAAATAAAATAAAATAAAATTTTAAATTTTGCTTCACGGTTTTTTTTTTTTACACTATTATATTATCTTTAAGATTTTTTTTATTGTAATATAGTTTTAAATAATTTTTTTTTTTACTGAATATTCTTTAATTGCTTTAAAATTTGAAGTATGATGGTAAATTTGCTTTCAAATTAAAAATATGATAATAAAATTACACCAATTGAACTATTAATGATAAATTTGAATCATCATCATAAATATACTGGTAAATTTGTATCTTAACATTAATTTTGTTGTTTAGTTTCTCTATCTAAATAATTTAAAAACAATTGATAACATTTTTAAAGTTTGGCCTTTTAATTTGGATGACCTAGCCCTAACATTAATTAATATTTTTAAAATTTTTCATCTACCCCTACAACCATCTATCATTCCATGCATAAATTCATTCAAATTTGTAACCTTCAAATACTAATTTCAATATCATGTCAATTGATCCAATAAACAATCAACAAAATTTATTAATAGTTGGATACATGACACATAGGAATAAAAAAAATATCATATTTTATTTCAATTAAATAATAAGTAATACTTTTTTAAAATTTTATTTTTATTAAAAATAAAGTTTTTTGGTCTATGCTATATGATTAAAAAAGTTTAAATTAGCATATTACGTCTCATAAACAAACATGACATATAATCGAATTTAATTTCAAATATTTAATATAATTAACAATTATATTTAAATAAATTTTTTATATAAAACTAGGTTTTTTTATTCATGCCTCGTAAAATTAGTCTTTTATCTTTAAAAATATTTAAATAGTATATATGTGTGCATAAATATGTATAAATATAGGTGTCTATATCAGTTTTTTAAATTTTAATTATTTCTCTTAAAAATGTATATATTCAATTACTTTATTAAAATAAAAATTAAAAATAGAAACAAATTAACTTAAAAAAAAAAAAGAAATGGATCAAAAAATTAAACTAACAATCTTATTAAAGAAAAAAATTATCATGAAAGGCAAAAGAATCATACTACCTAAAAAATAAATAAAAGTGAAATATCATTAAAATTTGTTTAATTTTCAAACCATCAATTTTATAAAATATGTAAAGATTAAAATTAATATAATAATGATTTATAATTTTTTGTCTCTCTACCATTAATTAAATTTAAGCGATTAGTAAAAGATTAATTTTTTTAATTAGGGTTAATTTATATTTTTTTTCTAAATTTATTTTCAAATTTTTAAATAATGAAATTTGAAATCTGCAATGGAAAGAGATCCATTTAGACATGTCTAAAACTAAATTAGTTTTACACATTTTCATGTCTTTTTATATAATTTATAGTTTGTCAATCCAATGGTTGAAATTTATACGATATTCATGTAGATCAGACGTATCAAATTTCAAGTAAATTTAAAATGTATAACTATTTGATTGATAATAATAAAATTTTAACTATTAATATATATTAAAAAATATTATTTTCAATCAAAATGATAAGATTATTGAATTGATGTAAAATTTTAGGTGGATAATAGGAAAAAATAAATTGTTAAATTTAACAGTCGATTTATAAAAATATTTATCATATATGAAGTTATAAAAATATGTATAACAAATTAGTTGTACACTTGTATAATTTGATCCCTCTTTTATTAAAATCAATATATAATTTATGTGAATTTTCATATCTCTATCATAATATAAAAAGTTTTTCAAAATAAAATTGATTATGAATTTTAATATAACTATATTTTATAGAATTTTCTTTGTTCTGTAATTATAATTTGCTTTGGTGATAGAAAAGTTTGAAATTTGGTTTATATATATATATATATATTTCTTTTAAAATATTTATTTTTAAATCATTAATTACTAAAATATGAAAACATAAAAATTTAATAATCTAACATTTCATATTTGACTTTTTTATTGCAAATAAATAATTAACTAATAGCTTAATATGTAATATATATAAATATAAATATATATCACTAATAAGCACATTTATTGTTCGAAATTTAATTATATACGTAGATAAATATACTAACTTTTTGTATTCTACTTTCCATGTTAATTTATTCAAAAAACAATTAATACAAGAAAACATTGAAATTTATATGATGACTGTTCCTATTATGATTTTTTTAGTTAAACTAAATTATATTCAAAAAAAATAAAATATTTAATATTTGTATTTATTGTGTGAAAACCTAACATTACATAAAAATAAATGGAGAGTAAATTATTTTTTAAATATATGAAATTAAATAAATAATAAATGTTTTCTACTTTGTCTCTTGATTATTTATTTGTAATCTCTAAAACATATGAATAGCATTAAAAGCTTGTGTTTTAAAAGGATGAGTGGTAAGAAAAAAAATAAAATGAATCATTTTCATTAATTAAATGAAGGTGATATTTGACAAAATTAGTTTGAGAATAAAATCAAAATAAATAAATAAATACATTTTGATAGTCATAAGCTTTATTAATTTGATATTGAACCCCTAATATTAATTCTGTTTGTGTATATATGTAACTAGAAGTGAAAATTTATATGAAAGTTTTATCATAATTGTTGTCCTTGAATTGATTAAGAATTTTGATTTAACAAAATAAAAATTTGCCAAACTTGTTTCAATCTTGTCTTAAGCTTAAATTGAATATTTTTCGACCCTTCTATCTTGCCAAAATTCATTTGAGAACCAAAACAACTCAAATTCTCGGAACAAAACATGATTTATGCAAGTTTTGATAGAAGGGATCGATCCCCTCAGGGAAGGGATCGATCCCCTCCATTACCAGATCGATCCCCTAGCAAAAGGATAGATCATGTTTTCAACCAAAACCGAAAGTTCTCAAGATTTGGCAAAAATCGATCGATCCCCTCCCTGCAAGGATCGATTGGTTAGTAGAACGGATCGATCTCCTTATTTAAGGGATCGATCACTTTTTCATATAGAATGATTTTTTCGTGCAATTTTCCAGAAAAAAGATCGATCCCCTCTTAAAGGGATGTCCCCTAAATGTGGAAACCCAGAAAAGGGATCGATCCTTTCATATAAGGGATCGATCCCCTCATATAGGAGATCGATCACCTAAAAGAATATATCGATCTCCTCAAGCAAGGGATCGATTGGGTAGGGCAAAATAGGCATAAAATCGAGTTTTCTCAAACATGAACCAATCGATCTCCTAAGGAAGGGATCGATCCCCTGAAGGCCTGAAACTTTCAACGAATATTTTCTATTTGAAATTTTTGCAAGTTTGAAGCATTAAATATAATCCAACGGCTCTCAACTTCTTCCTAACTATAAATCAAGCAATCCATTGCAGACCAAGAGCAACAAGAGCTAAAGAAACTTATTGCTATTCACCTACCAATCTGCTTAAGCATTTAAAGCTATAAAAAAAGAAAAAGTGAAGAATTCATATCAGTTTTTCTCTACTTTTTTATTTATACATTTATGTACTTCAACTTAGCAAACACCTAACCTTTGTGAGGTTCTTAAAGTTTTCCAAACACTTTTGAATTTTTTGTATTGTGAATGTGTAAGCTTAAGGGGGAGGATAACCCTTAAGAGTGTATGTTGTTGAGTTGAAAAGCTTTGTGAAAGCTTAGTTGTAATCTTCATCAAATAGTGGATTGAACTCCTTAGCAAGAAAGGCTAAGGGAGAGGACGTAGGTGCTTAAGAAAAGACCAAACCTCTATAAATCTTGGTGTTAAATTCTCTAACCCTATCTCTTGTTTATATTCATCTATTTTCTTATCTATTTTGATAATTTGTGGTTATTGAATATTATCTTTGAAAATTTATTAAAACTAATTCACCCCCTCTTAATTTATTCCAAGTCTTTGAGCTAACAATTGGTATCAGAGCCAGTACTCTTTTTGTAGGTTTAACAGCCCAAGAG